CAACCAGTAGAAGAAACGTTAGCAAGTGTGTTCACTGTGATATCAAACGCATAGTAGGCAGATCATCGGACCAATCGCCAGAGATCTGAAAAGCCCTAGGAGAAAGGTATAATGCTCAACGAGTCTCTAGAGCGAGAAGAATCCGCTAGCCTACTAGTGGAAGCGAAAGGGAGAAGTGGAATGTTTCCTGGCTCCGGCTTGTCTCATTCGACGATCAACAGAACGACAGATGATGTAAGTGAAGCAATCAGATGTTTGAAATTTGAAGCTAATAACTCCAACGCATGGTGAAGGAAACAAGGAGCATGAAAAATTTGTGAAAAGACCTTAAAACTTGCTAAAGCACATGAACGTTCTTTAAGAGATCTCCATGATGAAAGGTGGCACGAGAGTCTATATAAAGTATTTAGAAAAGAGAAATATCTTTAGCAAACACAGGCAACATACTCTTCTCCTAGAGACAAATTTCCATTTGGTCACACTGTTGTTTTGCTCGACAGAATAATATACACCACTCCATTTTTAGCACTTCGCTACCCTGAATTATCTCGTTAAGTGATCAACAGTATCCTCGCGTTCAATACACCATCTACCTAGTGGTCATCGATATAAATCCAAGAATATAATTTTGAGCAAATCTAATTACTATGTAACCAATGAGCGTTAAAAAAGACTTGTCACAAATGGCTTTACTTATATGCCTCATAGAAGACTGTAAGAAGAGGAACACCATGATATGTGTTTTAAAAACCAATGCATCTCATACTTTACGCATATAACATCCCTTGAAAACTATCATTCCTAACGATAGTGTGTTCTTCTCCGTAATATTAAAGCAAACAGTGTCACGCTCATGACCATAGTCGCACTGAAAAACTAATTTCATAATACAACCACAACGTTGCTGAGATATTTGCAAAACTCTGGACCGCAGGTGTCTATGGTGGGGAACGAACGCGCTATTATCCTTTCCGGGGAGTAACGCGTTCACCACCACACCATGCGGGTCCTTTGTTTCGCACGTCTCTCAGCTATTTCGTTCGTTCCCCACCATAGACACCTGCGGTCCAGAGTTTTGCAAATATCTCAGCAACGTTGTGGTTGTATTTCGCTTAGTAACCTGCCATGAAAATTATAGAAGGCAGAAAACAAAACGTTAAAACATTGTAATTTCATAATAATTTGAAAATTATTGGACAGCAAACGATGAAAAGTGAGGACATATGCTGCATGAGGCAGATTACAGTAATTGGACTATGAAAGTTGCGAGACAAATTAGGAATACACATAAGTTTTTCTCATGCACAAAACGAATCCACTATTTATCCCTGATAGCCTGCACTATACAAACAACGCAATAGGGTACTGTCTCCACGACGAGGTCCATTCCTTGCAAATCAAAAAACCGCTATGGAAAATTCACATACTTGTCCTGCATAACATTTTATGATGCTCTTACTAAAACCACTGGGGATAATTAAACACTGTTTTCATCTGAAATGAGTGGTCTTTTGGTTGTATAACGTAAGCGAACGAGCAATAGCATCAATACGCATGCCACTCGAAGAAACAGATAGGACTCACTTTAGCGGTCACTCTAATTGTGAAAGAATTTAATCTTTTAAAGAAGTGGAAAAGCTGAATGAAAACAATTAAGAAAACAATTCTGAATAGCTTAATTTTCTACAGAATTCCTTGCCACTTTATTGACCACCAAATATTGTGCGACTCACAGACATTTTGTGATCACCATCAAATACCTTAAATCTCATCCAACTAACCATATTCTTGTAATTAATCTATATAAATTTAGTGATGCACTTGCTGGCGGACAACCCAGCGCAACATAAGCTGTCACGTGTAAATTTCACCTGACAGTAGTAACTCCCTTCGAGCAACACCTTAAGTGGAGCACGCATTAATGTGGAACAAAGAGGGTATCAGCTTAACACTTGAGGCAATGTAAGCCTTCCCCCCCCCCGCTCGCCCACATTGCTGTCAACTAGATTTAGGCCTGAACTATAACTCAAAAAACCATGATCCCATAACTCAAAAGCCACGAAAGTATAGAGATATTAGGAAAACTTATAATCACAACGTTGCTGAGATATTTGCAAAACTCTGGACCGCAGGTGTCTATGGTGGGGAACGAACGCGCTATTATCCTTTCCGGGGAGTAACGCGTTCACCACCACACCATGCGGGTCCTTTGTTTCGCACGTACCCGAAACAACGAAACAAAGGACCCGCATGGTGTGGTGG